AACCCTCTCAGGATCTCCTCAACTTTAGGATCATTGGTTGGTAAGTAAATAACGGGCATACAATGTCCGAAGTCCTTTGAAGTCGAGCGTCAACCGAGGGAGGTGATTAGCAAACAGTCGTGTCGCATCACAAATCAAGCCATTCCATAAACTCGAAATTTGAGACTATAGCACAACTTTGGACCATCCCAGCTATTTATCCCTGAATGGTAAACAGATTAATGGCCTTTTGTAATGACTGGCCATTAAAACTGTTATATCGAAGCAGCATCAAAACAGATTTCTCTGGTGTAAAATTGGGAACATCCATGCCATATGACAAAAATACTCTGAGGGGCCATATAGGGGCAAAGAGTCAGTCTGGGTACTGAATATCCGTTATTAGGGAGGGTTTTCATCCCCGGGTCTCCCGGACGCCCACCCATGTGCTCTCCCCCAACCCTGACGCTACAGTACTAGCCATGCAAAGACACTTGATGCCTGAACAAGGATAAGTTACTTGTGACACTGGCAGTACAGTACGACCTGTGGCGCTCTGATATGTACCTTCAAGTTCACTTGTACCTGGCAGTCACATGGAATGGGAAGAGTAAGGGTCAGTTTGCATATTGTCAAAGCGAACAAGGGACCCGTCAAAATTCATACAAAAAAGGAAATGGTTTTGCAGGGACACGACGACTTACTTTAAGACAAACGCGGTCTAGCCACGTGAGACAGACAAACTTTGATCGTCATTACCTGATTTAGTATAGCGGTCATGTCGTCGGTTGACACTGAGAGCTCATGATACTCATGACACGGTGTCAGGCTGACATGTACATGTACAACACTGTGAGAATCAATCCTACCTTTCGGAACGATCTCACTCAGACAATGGGCATCTATTTCATTAACTACAGTACGATTTTTACAGTGCACCCTTAGTCCCTTACCCACCCTTGTTCTCTGTCCCTCCGAAAACACTCTCACCCCTTTCCAAAATCCTAGAGTATAACACTCTAAGGAAAGCGTCGGGAGAGGTGCTTGCTCCGCAGACTCGGATATTGGTCAATCGGATATTGTCCTTCAGCAATTCTTTAATTGGCGCGAGCCGTCTCAAGCTCGCCCCCACTGGCACTTCATCCCCCACTGGAACTCTGCCCTGACGTGCCAAGTACCTCATTTTGTTCCTGGCACCACCAAGATGGAAAGGCGCCTTTTTAATTCTAGCCTCGGCGGTGGCTCCAGGGCTCGCCACGATCGAGTTTGACAGCGTCAATCATTCGAATGGCCGCAGTATCGTCCTCTGGCTGTCCTGGATTTCAAGGGACCACCATTCGTAATGTACATAACTTAGGGCACAATCACGCTGTGTATGTGTGAACTTATATCGCTATAAATGGGTTTCACTGCCCACTATAAAAGTACCTGTGGATTACCTTTCCCAGCCGAATTTCCAGCGCTATAAAAGGTTTATCATCCTTCCAACACAGCGATCCCCTCCCATAAACACCATGTCACCCCCAGCTTCTCTCTCAACATTTGGCACGCGAGTAGGCCTGCTCTTACTCGTTGAAACGTCCGCAGTATCTGCATGCGCTATTATCTGCCTCTTGTCCTACATTGCTGTATGTAGCGCACGCCACCAAGATGACCCATTTACTGAATTGTTTTTCCAAAAGTACAGTACTGTCTCCATCTTGAGGGGTTCATCTAGAAGATGGAGTATCGGCGGCCCCGCCGAGGTTTACTTCCTTAACCAACTGGTCTGGGATCTTGTTCAAGCTGCCGGCGAGTCATAGGACAGCGGAAACTGGTTGTGTTCGCTGACTGAGATAGTCCCTCCAGGCGGCCTCATGAACGTTAGGTGGGCTATAGATGCAGTGCGTACAGTGTCCTTTGGCATTGACCTTATTCCTCATCTTCTCATGGCATAGTCTGTACGCTCAGGCGTTTTCTGCTCTGTGCAGGGTACGGTATCTCGAAGCTTGCGCTAAAGAATGGTGTTGAGACTGTAGTTAGGTGCCGTCAAGCACGCATCAGATGTCGGTTGTGCGCTCTCGTGAGTAATCGGTGCCTGGCCAGACGTCCGTCAAGGGTCTCACCCGTGCATTGCATTGCAGGACACTGGTCCGTTGTTTATTTGGTCCTCTTACCCGCCCGTTATAACTCGCGTGGTCAAGGTTATCTCGTTATATACCCTTAGAACACTCTGCTTCATGAAAGTACCCCATGATGATGACCAGCTTGATAAAGGGAAAATAGAGAAAACGCGCAGAAAGCGCCTGCATCGCAGTCTCGTCGTCGTTGTCTGCATTTGGGCCAGTGTCGCCCTCATAGTGACCGCCAATGTGGCCGCTAATGGGGTGGGTCATTTCTACGGCCCAACGGGGTATTGTGAGCTCTATCTGTCTTTTTATCGGTCTGGTTTTGACATGACGCAGGGTGTTGGATTCGCTCCGAGTATTCAATCCAGCGAACTGCTTGCGATTTTGGTTTGATGTGGATGACGGCTGCAGCCAACATCGTCATTTACGCAATACTATTCCTCCACTTCAGAGGTTATATCACGACAAGCGGGTCGCGCATACATACATCACTTAAGCCAAAACCAGTCAACATCCATGGGCCTTTGAAACAAGCATTTGGTTTACTTTTGTGAGATGCCCCTCTGCTTCCCTCATTCTCCTCCTGTTGACTGCGTCTCGCTATCCAGCTACCCGCTCGTCTATATCCTGACGGTGAGATTTTGAGTTAGTACTTGAGCTCTCGGGCCTTATCAACGTGGTTCAATAGGTTCTGCCTTTATCAATTGCACGCTATAACGCCTTCGCACATCACCGCGTTCCCTTTGCCGTTACAATATTTGTCGACACAATCTACCTGTCCTCAGGCCTGCTCAATGTCATACTCTTCTCCACGACTCGTCCGTTCCTTCTCCCACATGACCTACCGACCTCAGATACGACGTCCGAGACATGTGATGGTATCAGGTTGGACGAGAGGTTTGTTGAGGAGAACGCATCAATACATTCCCTAGGTTGGTAGTTTTCCTGTCCCCGGAATATAAAGATCTGACCCTTATTGTGGCTAACAGGTGTCTGATATGTATCGTTGCAAGCTTTACAAAGACCGTGTAAGGTGGCAATGCCCGCTGGGCTCGAAATGAGCACTTCGACGCGTCCACAACACCAATCCGAGCCTTCAACGTCCGCCTGCATCTTCCATCACCCACCCTCGTTCTCGTGTCCATCTTCCATCTTCCACACTCGTTCAGGCCTGTCTCTTCTCCCCCCACAGTTCCTTCGAACCCCTCTCTCTTTTCCGTCCCCTCCGTCCTTGCGCCACTCGTCCACTCGTCCTCACCTCTGTCCCTCGTTGCCTCATCACTCATCCTTTCGGCCTCGCTTCTGTTCCTCATTGCCTCATCACTCGGTCTGCCACCATGAGGCTCCCTTTCATCCTCGCCCTTAGGCTAGCTGTCCCCTTAGTCCTCATTCAGGAAAACCCCCTCGTACCCACCACCCCTCACCTACACCCATCTACGCGCCCATCGTCCCCCACTCACAATCGACTATGTCACCTCCCACGTTACCCTCGAACTCAAGTCACTCGCACCCCCTTGTTCCTACCCGACCTGTCACCCTTGTCGTGTCAAGCAACCTCGCCCGGCAGTCCCTCCGGCAGCTCCTTTACGTGTATATCTTTCATTTCTTAGCTTTGACCCAATTCATTGAATCCCCCTCGTCCCTCCTTCTACACGCTATGTCTACAAACACTTCGCTCTTTTGTCTTAGTTCGTCCCTGCCCACTCGCGCTCATCCAAGTCACTGTACACTAAACCACCTTTATACCACCCCTCGCCATATGAACTCAGTAATAACTGTCACTTTTGATCTCGCTTCGTCCCATCAGCACCGTCTAGGCCTCAGTAGCGTTTACCCCCTTCGTTACATCTCGAGTCTGCTTACTTTCCTTCATTTACAGACATTCATTTCTATTTGTAATTACGTGCGCACCCCTTGCTAGCAAAACCCCAAAGAAGCCTCTCCGGAGGCAAGCACTCTCTCGCGGACGCTTTTCCCTCTTCTTCCTCTGCGTGATTATCTTAAGTCTCTCTGTCGTCTCACCTCCCGGTGCGATCCTTCGACGCTAACCCGTGCCACTGTGCCGTCATGCGCTCGGAAATTCTCGTGCTAGGAAGACACTCTCGACTTGGTTTGAACCACTCTGTTTCTTTCATCTATCCCTCCTTTGTGTACGCTCTCGATACCTCCGGCTTGGCGACTTCTCCTCAACACCGGGCCCATTCCCTCTCATACATCTCTTTTCCTCGAACTCACCGGCGTGCCTTCTCGCACACTACAACTGTACAAATTTATCGCTGGAGTAGGAGAGATAAGATACGTGGGGCAGAAGGCAGGAGATAGAGAGATTACGGGGCAGAATGTGAATCCGACTTGCTCTCAAGCCAATCCAAGCTCATGGAACACTGGCACGCCCCTCTGCCGCTTGGTCCGATGTATTTATGTTGGTAGCCGCACCCTGTGATTTCGCGCGTAGGGTCAAAATACATAACATCATAGCTTACGCCATCATGACGAAAGGCAGGACCGGATTGGGGTGATACATACGCGCATTCGTCTGATCTGACATACATAGAGCGTTCGTATGGTGTGCGACGCGGGTTTTGGTAATCAGTAGATGTCACCATCGTGGCCGCTCATCCGTGCAGACAAAGAGAGACCTGCACTCAGGGAAAGACGTCACAATTCAACTTGAATCTAATCTGGTGGGTTACTTTGGCGAAGTCACGACTCACTAGTCTCAGGTTGCCCGTCATATGTACAAGATGTCCGTGACGCAAGGATTTGGGAGATTTCACTAGGATACCATTATAGATATCACCGCAAGAGCAGAGACAGCTGGAAGAGCAAGAAATGGCGACACCTTCAAGTTCGCGTTGCTTTGATTCTCAGCAGCCTTGGCGCTCGATCCACATGTTACATTTTTGCTTTGAGGGTTCAGTGGTCTAATGGTTATGATTTCTGTCTCACATCACGTCAGGAGGTTTGCTCACAGAAGGTTCCCGGTTCGATCCTGGGCTGAATCAATTTTTTCGTCATGCATTTTTTTTTCTCGCAAGGTTCTGGGGGCGACCAAGCGGCACCAAACTGGCTTTATCCTCTGAGCCAGAAGTTGAACTCTAGCAATAAATTCGTAGACTCATATAGCCGTGGCGCTCGTATTATAATGTCGCCCCCATCTTTCTCTAACTGTCTACACCGGCTTTCACATCCTCTAGGTCTGATTGGGCATCGTGTGATGCCAGTGCAAACTCAGAAAACGGGCAATTACTCATGGTACGATTCTGCCAGTGTCAGACTCTTCCATCGGACTGCTTTATCGAGGGTACCTGTGCACAGGTCAACGGAATCAGACCAACTCGATTGTCAAACCGTAAATTTGCTATCACCTCAGGGCACGCTAGGCTTAAACCGGATTACATCACCGCCTTGACAGTACCTCGCTCCAATTCTCAGGCAAGACAAATGGTGCGACTCGCCTGTGGCCTCGGCACATCAATGACCAACATCCCGTCCTCGCCAAAACGTGCCCGCACAGCTCCCAAAATGTCTCGACTTGAACAGGAGGCCCGTTGGGGCCCGCTCCGCGGTGGGCGTGCGCCAGTGGTGACTCAGGGCGCGAAGGGAAGCGCCGCAATGTCGCCCGTGAGCGTGATGCATGCCAGTGTTCAGCGCCACTTGTAGGTGCCTGTCCCATCGGATCTTCCGCGTGCCTTATCGTGCGTTGATTAAGAACCAGGGGGATCGTGCGTGTTGCTCGGGACGAAGGACGGCGCTCGTGGACTGACGTCCGACTTGGTGCAGGGTGCTGCGAACGAGCACGTCGGCGCGGAATCAGCACATGGCAAAGTCCATCAAATGCCAGCTCACGCCCACAAAGTCGAGGAATGTGGACTGTGGAAAAATGATGGGCCCTTTTTGCCGCCCCATAGGTTTTCTGGGTTGACTCTATTGGCGGAAGCGAGGCAGCATGTAGATTACGTCGGTGCTCGTCTCACCCCAAGTCCCGCTCAGGCTGTGTAGTCGCATCGGAGTAGTTACTACGCGCTGGAGAGAGAAGGGTCGCGCCCCCAAGGACTCGTCGATGGGTTCAACCAAGGCTACTCTACGCATCGCATGATCCGCATATGGACTACCTGTCCCGTGACTTCCTCATCATGTGACCTCTGACCTCACCTATTCCAGCGCGGAGGTTAAACGGATGGTTGATTGTTGGATTCCAGGCCAGATTCCAGACCAGCTTGTATTCACTCAGCGCATATATCTAAACATCAAACTGGTGACACCCTGACTGCAATTGTAAGCAACATGATAGTCCGAGTCCGAGTCCGAGTACACCACCTTGACATTGACATGGTGACAAATCTCAGGCTAGATTAGTGCTTACCAGGTCACGTTAAAACACGCATCGGAACGCTCTATGCATGTCGAATCAGACGATGCGCGTATGTATCACCACAATCCGGTCCTGCCTCTCGTCATGATGGCTCAAACTATAATATTCTGTATTCTGATCCTACGCACGAAGTCACAGGGCGCGGCTACCAACTTAGATACATCGAACCAAGCGGCGGAGGGGCGTGTTCCACGAGTTTGGATTGGCTTGAGAGAAAGTCGGATTCACATTCTGCCTCGTAATCTCTCTATCTCCTGCCTTCTGCCCCACGTATCTTATCTCCCCTACTCCACGATAAATCTGTACGGTCTTTGTAAAGCTTGCAACGATACATATCAGACACTTTTTGGCCACATTAAGGGTCGAATCTTTATATTCCTGGGACAGGAGAACTACGAACCTAGGGAATGTATTGATGCGTTTTCCGCACCAATTGTCTCGTCCAACAGCACCTCGGATGCTCGGAGGCATCCCTCATGAACCTGGCCGTGGCCAATCGCGATTGGCTGGAGACTCGACGCGTGGGAAATTAGGTACCTGAGAAGAGACTCCTACGTTCAAATTATCGCATTGAGAAGCACCAGCGAGCCTGATATCATAACGTGTCTCTGACATTGTACCTGAGGTCGGTGTGTCATGTGGGAGAAGGAACGGACGAGTTGTGGAGAAGAGTATGACACTGAGCAGGCCTGAGGACAGGCAGATTGTGTCGACAAATACTGTAACGGCAAAGGGGACGCGGTGATGTTGGAGGGTGCGATAGGGTGCAGTGATTGATACAGGCAGAACCTATAAAACGACGTTGATAAGGCCCGGGAGCTCAAGTACTAAATCAAGATTTCACCGTCAGGATATAAACGAGCGGGTAGCTGGATAGCGAGACGCAGTCAACAGGAAGAGAATGACCGAAGCGGAGGGGCATCTGACAAAAAGTAAACCAAATGCTTGTTTCAAAGGCCCATGGATGTTGACTGGCTCTGCCCCCCACTGGTCGTGATGAAACCTCTGAAGTAGAGGAATAGTATTGCGTAAATGACGATGTTAGCTGCAGCCGTTATCCACAACAAACCAAAGTCGCAAGCAGTCCGCTGGATTGAATACTCGGAGCGGATCCAACACTCTGCGTCATGTCAAAATCAGACCGACAAAAAGACAGATAGAGCTCACAATACCCCGTTGGGCCGTAGAACTGACCCATCCCATTAACAGCCACATTGACGACCACTATAAGGGCGACACCGGCCCAGACATAGACGACGACGACGAGACTGCGATGCACGCGCTTTCTGCGTGTTTTCTCTTCATGAAGTTGGTCATCATAATAGGATAGTACGTTCATAAAGCAGAGTGTTCTAAATGTATATAGCGAGATAACCTTGATCACGCAAGTTATGACGGGTAAGAGGATAAAATAAACAACGGACCAGTGTCCTGCAATGCAATGCACGGGTGAGCCCTTGACGGACGTCTGGCCAGGCATCGATTATTCAGGAGAGCGCACAACCGACATCTGATATGTGCTTGACAGCACCTAACTACAGCCTCACCGCCATTCTTTAGCACAAGCCTCGAGATACTGTACCCTGCACAGAGCAGAAAGAGCCTGGGCGTACGGACTATGCCATGACAAGATGAGGAATAAGGTCAGGTCGATGCCAAAGGACACTGTACGCACTGCGTCCATGACCCACTTAATATCCATGAGGCCGCCTGGACTATCTCAGTCAGCGAACATAACCAGCCTCCGCTGTCCTATGACTCGCCGGCAGCTTGAACAAGATCCCAGACCAGTTGGTTAAGGAAGTAAACCTCGGCGGGGCCGCCAATACTCCATCTTCTGGATGAACCCCTAACGATGGAGACGGCACTATACTTTTGGAAAAACAATTAGTAAACGAGTCATGTTAGTGGCGTGCGTCACATACAGCAATGTAGGATAACAGGCAGATAATGACGAATGCAGATACTGTGGACGTTTCAGCGAGGAAGAGCAGGCCTACTCGCGTGTCAAACGGTAAGAGCGAAGGAGGGGATGACATAGTAGGGTGTTTATGGGAGGAGATCGCTGTGTTGGATAATCACCCTTTATAACGTTGGAAATTCAGCTGGGGAAGGTAATCTACGTGGGCAGTGGAACCTATTTATAGCGGTATAACTTCACACGCACACAACGTGATGTGCCCTATGTACAGTACATTACGAACTGGTGGTTCCTTGAGGTCACAGACAGCTACAGGACGGTACTGCCGCGGCCACCGGAATGATTGATGCTGTCGAACTCGATCGCAGCGAGCCCTGGACAAGACTATAAGTAAAAAGACACCTTTTCCATCTTGGTGATGCCAGGAAAAAAAAAAAAAGAGGTATTTGGCACGTCAGGGTTCCAGTGGGGGATGAAGCGGGGGCGAGCTCGAGACGGCTCACACCTACATATTAATTGCAAGACAGCTGGGTCGGGCACGGGCCGGGCCTGTGCAGAAAAAATGCATGATGGTTCGGCCCAGGATCGAACCGGGAACCTTATGCGAGCAAACCTCCTGACGTAATGTGAGACAGAAATCATAACCACAAAACGGGAATATAGCACGTAATGACAAAGTTGAGAACATGGTGACATGTCGCCATTTCTTGCTCTTCCTCTTCCAGCTGTCAGAAAAAGTGCAAAAAGATTATTGGGCAGATCAGGCCTGATCATGTCAATCATGCCACTGGGGGCCGCATGACCTAGCTTGGGAATGTTAGGATCGGGTTCACCCATTTCGTCAGATGATCAGTTGATGATCAGGCAAATCACACATTGATAGAAGTGAAAATAAAAACGTTTTTATTTGTTTCTTGTACATAAACATGACATGCGGGATCAATTTGAACAATATGATAATGTGAGCACAACTACTAGTATGCGATAGCATTGTGGGACCTGGAGGCCTGAGAAGAGACGCTGAGGTGAGAGTGCAGACCGCGTCCGCGGATAATCGACATCACTGAGATTCCGACTGCGCTTCCCGGGCACTGGGATGTCTTCGGGATCACCCTCGTGAATTGCAGGTTCCGTGTGCCTACCGTCTGTGGCAAGGACGGGGATGCAGGAGGGAACAAGGCGGAAGAGGCATGGAGATCATCAGTGCAGAAGAAGGCCTGGAAGACGAGGACGAGGAAAATAACTTGGACGACGGGGATATTTAGAGAGAAGAAGGATTTGCAGACTTGTGAGGCAACGTGTATGATGCTGTCCTTAAAACGACACCAGATTGTGGCTCTATTTAGGCCGCGCAACTCAGAGGGATTGAAGATGCACTGGCACACGAGAATGACACTAGTAACGATTGAGGGATATAACTTTCGGTGGCACGATCCGGCCCGATCCGACATGATCATGCCCAATGATTGATGGCGGTGTCTAATCATTTCAGCACCCCTAGTACCCCGGGCCACGCTTGTTCTCCGCCCCCTTCAAAATCACCCCACTCCAGGGAAAGTGTCGCTATGTGTTTGCTCCGCAGATAATTGGTCAATCCCATACTGTCCTTCTGCAATTCTTTAATTGGTGCGAGCCGTCTCGAGCTCGCCCCTACTTCATCCCCCACTGAAACCCTGCTCTGAGGTGCCAAATACCTCATTTTTGTCCTG